ATCTCAATAAGCAGCTACAGATTCTGGGCTACAGATGGTCAACCGATTCCTCCACTAGGTCCAGTAGAGAGGTTGGCATAAGGTTTACCCCTTACCCTTTGTGGGGGAACCCTCCCCCAAAAAAGGGGAGAGAAGGGCACTACTGGGGAACCTGGTCCACGTTTGTGCCGTGCTCACCGACAAAATCATGGCGGACGCTCCTCCTCCGTGGCGCCCAGCGCGGAAGCCACGACCAGCGCCCGATCCGTGCCCTATGCACATGGCACCGGAAGCGGAAGCCGACGACGGGTACCCCCCCCCCCCCCCCCCCCGGTTCGAGAATAGCAGGATGAAAACACTGGGTTTAATTCCATGGGGGTAGCCAAATGAAACCTTGTGTCCATAAGCTACTCAGCCGCACTGCCTGCACTCGTGCGCGCAGACCGAAATCATTGCAAAGTGCCGCTGACGTACTTCAAACCAGCAAGCGCAAGTTGAATACGAAGCCCCTTAGTATGGTCGCGAAGGAACAAAGCACCGGTGCCAAGTAGCGCAAGTTATCACGAATTGTGTGGACCTGGATGGGCATTGGTGTCCCTTTCCAAGGCTCCCCGTCCGGGAAGCCAAGCGCCCCCGAGTCCCGAGCCCCGACCCCGGTCCCGCCAGGCGGCGCCGCAGCATGGCCAGGCACGGCGGCAGCGGCTCCACGCAGATCCTGAGCCGATCCCAAGGGCGGCGCCACCCGTCCCAGCGGCAGGGCTGGGAGTTGGATCCAACCCACCGGAAAAAGAAGAAGAAAAAACAAAAAACAGTGACATGGATGCTGGCCATTCTGGTCATCTTTCCTCACCAGTGACAATACCGAGACGTTTCTGCACATCCCTTTTCGTCGAACATGGACTCTCCCCTTTGAGGTTGCAGGCAGCGTCCCATTGATCATACTTGGACCAGCCAATTCAGCTTTTTGTTGCCCGCCACGGGGCCTTGAGCTCTATTCACTGGAAAATGTCCGTACAACCATTGTTTCCGGGAGTGGCACCCTGGCGGTGCTGCGTGTTGCGGTGGTGGTTTGATGGTTTCCCGGACGGTGTTTTGGCGTTGTTCTGGTGATGTTCCAATTGTTTCGGTAGTGTCCTAGTTGTGTTTTCGGTTGTGCTGGTGGTGGTGTTCTTGCAAAGTCCCGGCGTCCGAGTCCCGGCGGCGTGCTTCCAGTGGTGTTTCGGCAGGTCCCGGCGGTGCCTCGGCGGCATCGGTGGCGTCCCGGCGGTGTCCCGGTGGTGTTTCGGTGCTGTTTCGGTGCTGTGCCAGTCGTGTCCCGGCGTTTTTTAAGGCAGTGGCCCGGTGGTGTTCTGGCAGTGTGGTTGAGTCGTAGGGTCTGCTGGTGTTGTAATGGTCGTGCTCCGGTGTCCCAGCGTGTCCTGCTGATGTTGCCCTGCCGGTGGTGTCTTGCTGTTCCCGTGCCTCAACGCTGTCCCGGTGATGCTCCGGTCGCCATCACGGCGCTGTTTCGGTGTTTGTCCCATATCTGTCCGATTGTGTATTGGAGTTGCCCTGTTCACTGATCCAGTTGCTGGTGCCTCGGTGACGGTCAAGTTGTTGCTCTTGGCAATGAAGTGAGTGCCGGTTGCTGGTGTCCTGGTGGCGAACCGATTTGCTGTTCGGCGCTGTTCTGGTCGCTGTTCCAGTTGCTGTTTCCAGCGGTGTCCCGTTGGTGTCTCTGGGCTGCCCCTTTGATGCAAGTGGTGCTTCATTGCTGTTCCAGGTGGGATGCCGGTGGTGCCGTGTTCAATGGTGTCGCGGCTTCCAGCCGTGTCCTGGTTTGCCCCAGTGTGTCCCAGCGCCTTTTGCTGATGTACCGATGGTGTCTCAGAGCTGTGCTGACGGTGCTGATGTCCCAATACTACTTCTTGCGCCTCGATAGCGCTCGGATGGTGTGCCAGTTGCTGTACCACCGGTGTTCCGGTGCTATCGGTTTGTTCCCAAGATGTCCCGAGACATCGCGGGACTGTTCCAATTGTTTGCAACAAGAACTGCCAGAGTTGCCGGAGAGTCGGGAGAGTTGCTATTATTATTGGGGTCTGTCGCTGGGTGAATTTGCAGTTCTCTCTGGTTGCATGTCCCTCATATTTCAGCAGCATGTTGACCTCCTTTCTCGCTTCTAACACGTCTCTCCCTGAATTGCCTTCGGCGCGTCGCTTCTCTGCCTCGCTTCATTTCAATGAACGGGCACACAGAGGCGTCAAACCCCTCTCAGCCAGTTGCAGATCGGGGCACAGGCGCGCGGCCGGCCACTCTGACAGCGCCCAGAGGGCAAAGAGCCCCACATTGGCCCCGCAGTCCACGATCAGCGGCTCCTCGGCTTTGTGAAGCACCGAGGCAAAGGCAAGCCGATCCGCAAACAACCTTGTCGTTGGCCAAAAGGGCGCACAGCTTCAAACGGGGCAACAACATCGGCTGGTACTGCTGGGTCCAATTCAAAACACCTCACCTTGATGGCGAAAAGAATGCAACGTGAATGTCAATGTCCAATCTCGACAATGGCAGCTTCCCCTCTTGCCTGTTCGCCTGCCCATCGACATGGTAAGTCTGCAACCGAGCCAAGCAACCAAATCCGCGCAGCACGCGACACGGCTCAGTATCCTTGATGAGCGATAGTCATGCTTCCCCGAATGGGTATCCTCATCTACAAACTCTTTCAACTTGTCGATTCGTACCCAAAGGGGGCAAAACATGAGCTGCAAGCTTACAGGCCTATAAGCAACTGAAGCCTCTGACCCTGTGCTTCGTTTTGGTCAGCTTTAAGCAAGCGAAACTCGAGGCCATTGAACAACTGGGAGCGGTGGGCCTCCGGGGTGGATCACTGCAAACGGTCTCACCGAGGAGGTTTGCCCCACTGAGTGTTTGCATGTCAAAGGTTCTGCATGACTGGCATGACCATGGAACGTGGGGTGAACCTCCAGCCAACCGAACTGTCAACTTTGCAATGGGCCCGATCGATGCTTCCGGATGCCCAGATTCCGCTGCCAGGGGCTGCAAGGGCTCATAGCACCGGTGCTGGAAGATCTCCCGCCGCAAAAACTCCTCCTCCTGTCGGTCTGCCATATTGACCTTGAGCCGATCTTTGTTTGCATCTCCTACGGCTGCTTGGTCTCCAAAAAGCCCTTCTTGATATGCAGGGTTCAAGGGTGTCGGGTCTTCATTGATCAAGATGCCAGGCTTGCTATTGGGCAAACTCCTGATTGACCCACTAGCGCGTGCATAAAGGAGGAAGTGGACATGGGTCCATGTAACATAGCTTGCCTGGATACTTGGCCAAAATAGGCAACATGTCTCACATAGACTGCAGCATGAGCATTTGTTTGACATCAGGCCGTTCGCCTGTACTGAACGTGAGTTCCTACGCTTTGCAACAGCCATGAATTCCTAAAGCCGCGAATAATGCCTTTCCCGAAAGTGGCCTTGCAGGAGCATTCTTGACAAGTGCTGGAGTAAATGTCAAGCAATGGCCTCGGTCCGAGCAGCAAAGAATGGATCCCAAACGGTGAGGGCGTTCATTTGGGGCCGCACGCTGAGGGATGCTTGCCCTTGGAGTTGCCCACGTCGAATGTGAGGACTGGACGATTGCCAGAAACTCAACTCAAAGGCTACGCTTCTAGTCTCAACTGGCCCCACATTCTCGCTGCCACATGGTCGGTTCTGTGGCAACCACTTCCCTAGTCGACAGACCACCAATGGAAAGCATTGACATTGTGGGCACCTCACAAAAAGAACTCATTTTCTTCAAGGCATCTGGCATCCGTGTCAGTGAACTATTGCAGGCAAACGTCTGAGGTTCTAAAGGCGACCGCCCAACAAGGCCTCAGTCCTACAAACCACATACAAATCTCCGCCTCATCGTTTGCTCCTGGGAAGTAGCCACCAAGGAGAACCCTGAAATACACTGCGGGAAGCCGGCTCGGAGTGCGCACGGCCGTCGTGCTTGCCCAGAGCTCCTCTGCCTGCATCTCTTCTGGCCCCGGCGGTTCGTCTGCGCTGGCAGGGACCATGGCAGCTGGCGGCTGAAGTGTACCCGGTGTGCGTGCCGGGTTCATATGTTTGCCACGGGATCCAACACTCAAGAGTGCACGCATAATAAATGTCTAAACGTCAAGCAAGCCACGACAAAGGAGATGTCGGGCAGGATGTAGTTAAGAACGGAAGGAGCAGCGCTTGTGCAGCGCTTGTGCGCTGGATGGATGTGGACTGGAGTTGCTAGCTGAGTGGGGCTTTACCGCTGTGGAGGGTCGACTGAGTGAATCGCTTCCTCCTCCAGCTAAGGACAAGGATAAAGGCAGCTTTGGCCTTGATGAAGTTGAAGAAATGGCGTTGTTGGATGCCGGATGACGCAAAAAAAAAACGAGATTTCAGTGCCTTCACGAATCACAAGGCGCACGGTGCAGTCCAAAAGGCTCATACAGTCCTCGCAGAGCGCCTCTTCCCCCCTTTGTTATTAAGTACTGTGCGTCGACAGCATACATACGCACCCAAAGAGATCCAGGATATTGCCGCAACTTTTGGCGTGGCAGTAGAACTGTTCTCCATGTGCACGAACACATTTCTGGCAACAGTGGGCTCTCTGACGTCAAACAGCGATAAACGGTGCACAAACAATCAGCAAGGCAATCACATGGGCAACACCCACTGCAACCGCTGCACCAACTGAACCAGCTAAGGGTCCAAGTGACATAATCTGCTGCAACTATCTGCCACCCCAAGAATTCAAGATCCCCTGCAAGGACAAAGGCCTATCCTCTGCGACTATGTGAGTTGTGAGAGGGTTCCTTAAGGATACACCACAACCCGATCTGCAAGGGCATCCTCTCAAAAACAGCTGCGAGAAAAAAAAACACGTTTTTTATTTTTCACCTGCCATCTGTACCCCTTTTTACCCCGCGTGCCCCTTTTTTGCCGGTCAAAGTGGAGGACCCGGCGACCCCCCGACGCGCCACTCGCGCGCGAGTTCGGAGTCTGGGCCCCTGGGCCAGTTTCGCCAGGCCCCGCAAGCCCTGGGACGCTTTCGGTGCCTGCGGGAGGTCAGAGGTCAGGGGGGGACGTTGACCCCAGGTGTGGGTGTTCCCCAGAAGCAAAGGGAATCAGTCCAGTGGCAGTCGCCGGGCATGCCAGGGAGCCCTTATCACACCTCCTGACATGGCTTGCGAAGATTCTTCCTTGAAAGAGCTGGGGGTGCGGAGTGGCGCCTTGGACGCCTTCTGTGCAGACTTCAACATGTCCAGCCTCGGAGAACATGCAACGTGCATGGAATCCAATCCTTGAGTGGGAGTCCCAAAAAAGGGTCTACGGGGAGATGGAGGGGTCTGAAAAGGATCCTTCAAAAAACCTCAGAAACTCTAGACTCGCCTTCCACTGCTCAAAAGCGCCATCACAAAACACAAACACCTCTCCAGGATACACAAGCGAGGATTCATCTCAGCGTCCCACCCAAACATCTCACACAAACCCTCAAATGTCTCCACCGACCCCCCCTTGCCGTTTGCTCTGTCAAAGAGTTGTGATTTCGCACCAACCACAGATTGGACTGTCGCTGTCTCTGACTTCTGACCAAGTGCCGCTCATGCCTTGTTTAGGATTGACGGGCAAACAAGCAGAAGGCAATGTAATCTGTTCCTGTCACCTCATTTCTCAAAAAAAACGGGTGGGCCCTCAGTCTCAAAGAAGCCGGTGACAGCGAATTTTAATTCATCGAATCGGAGGCCTCCAAGCACAACGGGAGCCACATGCGCGCACTCGGCAAGAACCACCCACAAGTGCGAACGCTCGGTGCCGAGGAGGAACCTAAAACGGCTTAGGCCAAGGGGCGACATGCCCGCATCGATGTCCTCCTGCTCCTCGTTCAAATCCAGCGAGCGCCCTTGGCCGCTCTAAGTCCATGCAACAACTCGCACGTCACGCCCAGCCAGTCTCACTCAAGGAAGCCAGCTTTAAGAGAAGCTAGTGTGCCGAGATGGCGAACTGCACCAATATGGAGACCAAACAATTCTGCGGCTCAACGTGGCAAAGTGCATGAGACAGATCTTCAATAGAGAAACAATCTATTCAATCAACTGCGGCATTCCCTGTTGCAATCAGGGCGAGTCTGTGCTCATCAAGTATGCAAATTGACCGGAATGTTCCAGCTGGGGCACATGTCGTTCCCTGCACGCAGGCACTAGGAATGGAATGGCGTGTCCGTTTGTCCGTGTGCCTGCGTGCATGTCTAGTGACGGTGCACAAGCAATCCATCTTGCATTCAAAGCGCGATGCAAACAGCATGCACCTCCTTTTCCGCCGCTATGGTGACGAGGCAGCACACACGGCGCATTCGGAAACTTTGATGAGCACACGGACCCGTGACTCAAGATCGCCCTGGGGCAACACGTAGATTCATCGCCCGTGCAACCTTGGGGCCCACATCGCTCACCACATCCGAGATCACAACAAACTGAGAGCTCTTTGGACGGAGCCATACCACCAAACGCGGCACAGCCTGACTCCACCGCGCCCAGCATCACCCTCAAACTCAGTACCTTTTGACGGTTTCCTGTCGACGTGACATGCACAGAGCACACCTCGTCAGGCGCAAGCGTTCTCCTCCCGGCCAAAGGCCTCTCACCCACCCTGAAATACCTCATCCCCTTGGCAAGATCGCTGACGTCGAAGGTCCAATGGCGCCATTCCTTCAGAGCAAAGTATTGTGGGTCCAGCTTTTCCACCAAGAGCTCGCTCCGCGGAGTGCTTCGCAGCAACTTGTCAAAAACCTTCTGGTCTGCTGCCAGTGCATCAGAAGGTCTACGCACCCACAGGGACTGAAACTGCGCCCAGAACCTCAGGGCCCGTGGATTCGATCTGATGACGAACAAACCGAAATTGATGCTGTCGAGGGATAGGTGCTGGCTGATCCACAAGTCAGGAGCTGAGGTCTTGAAGCTGGTGAGGGTCGCGCTTCCACCTCAGGAGGCCGGCCCGGTTTGCGCGATGTCTATCCCTCGATCCCTGTTTGACCTAGCGAATCACAGCCTCAAAAACTATGACCACGATTAAGCCCGGCACAGTTTTGTGTGAAGGGATTGTGCTGCATGAACACGTCCATCTCCAGAAACAGAACTGCTGAAAACTCTGCCTTGTTCATCATCCAAAAGACAACATCAGCTTTTGCTGACCACATGGCAGAAGGATGTCTCAAGCCAGCCGTGGTGTCACAGCTGCCCTTGACACAAGCAAACGCCATACCAGGAATGGAATGATTCTTTCGGACTTCCTCCGAGTCTGCATCAAGCGAAACAACAAATATGTTGGGCAAACCAATGGAGACGCCATGCTGCCACCAGCGAAGCACAATGCTACTATACAGCTTGTCAAATATTGTCAAAGTCACGATCTTTGTTGCTCTGTCGTCCGCATCTTGCAGGTCTTTGCCGATTGCTTCTTCTGCTGCCCTCGGCGTGCTTGTGGCCGCTGACAAAGTGCCCGTTGAAGGCTGGGTTGTGGTGGGTGTTTGGTTCACAGTGCTCGAGTACGATTGTGACAAACGAACCTCCTTTCCCCACTCATTGGTGGGTATCTGGTTCACAGTGGTGCGCGTGAATCCAATCAGCAAACACCCAAGTGCAGCAACAGGCAAGCACAGCCTGGCTTTGCTGGTGTCAAAGCACAGACTCTTACAAGTCATTCGCCATGCCGGATTCCAAGAGACCTGCTTTGATTCAGTCTGCCTGGCATATAGCGCACGTTGTGACAGTTGAAAATGACCATCGATAGTGAAAATCCGCCAAGCCTGAAACTGCTTCTTTGCACTGAGAAGCTTGAACAACTGGTGCTTCTTAACAAATGACTTCCAGATGTACATGTTCACAGCTTTCATGAATAGAGCCTCAAATGCAGCAGCTCAATTCACAACAAAATGAGCCATGACAAGCGTTCACACAAAGTACGCAATCAAGCCTCCACAAGCAACGCAGCCCAACGGATAAGCAACGCAACATGCGCCATTGCTTTTCACGTACCCTCAAAACAATAGCTGGTCTCTCTTCGGCGCTGAAAAGCATTCGGAACAAAGACACCTGGCACAATGACCTAAACACGGGCGGCGATCTCAATGACGTTCATCCACCCAAATCTCGAAAACGGCAACAAGCAATGATGGCAAAGCAAAAGCAAATGGGACGTCTCGCGAATGACTCTCGCGGGACAAGCTTGGGGGACTGTTAGCCGGCTTGATCTTCGTCGATTTATGTTGGCGGTACTCTGCGGTCCTGCCACACAAACAAAACTCTCAAAACTGCGTTCTCGTAGGCCCACTCCGGCCACCCTATCGGACCGTGAATAAGCTGACATTGTGCGAAGAGTGTATGGCATTGTGCGAAACGCTAAAAGCCCAAATCCTAGCGCGCGCAGCACACGCAATGGCTGTCATTTTGGGGGTGTAGTTGCAACGACTGCAGCTCTAGCGGGGACAGCGCTGGCAGCCTGTAGGGGAACGGCAACGCGGCCTCACCATGGCACAATTTTCTATGTGCTAATATTCGCCAACAATGGTAAACGAGGCCACTGATTCATCTATTTACTTCGACCTCTTCTTTTCTGGGTTTGAGTGAACCCAGATGGGACGCTTGGCACGCTAACTCCACCCCTCGCCCCTGAGAGGTGCACCCCCACGCTTGGAACGGCCCAGCTGCGGAGCTCGAAGCCTGGCACACGGTGGGGTTGAGGCATCAGGATGACTCGGGGCTCGAAGGGGATGAATTTGTTGCATGATCGCCGGAACCTCCAAAGACAATGGCAAGAGGGGCGTCGGCTTGAAGGCATCTCTTGGGATGATCGCGGGATGAAGCTCCAAATGGCAATGGCAAGAGAAACGTTCACACTACGTCCTGCCACGAGGCAAGGATCATACGTCCTTTACTTTGATCATGGAGCTTACGCTGTCTGGAGGGAATGTGCAACTAACACGTAACCCGAAAGAAAGGGCCAGTCTTCGAGATGAACTTCGACGTGCCAACCCTGGTGCATCTGCCACCGGCTAATATGAGATGGCAAGGGAGAAAGCTGTTGAAACAAACATCAACCGGATTCGGATGAGTTGAAGAAAGATTATGTCTTAGCTCAAACAGCCCATCCGGGCAGGGCGAAACACAAACACCGCAATGTCACAATCCAAGATGAACTCAAGGAATTGCCATGAGCGTGTCATGCTCAGCTATGGGATTGAGAAAAGGCCCCCGGTTTCAAGGGCCCAGCAATCCATGCAGCAAAGCCTTGTGGAGCCTCCCTTGCTGCCCGTGTTTCAATGCTGCCTGGCTTCATCCATAACCTCCCCTCGGCGGTTGATCAACACATTCCAAATGTGAAAAGATTCGCGCATGGTTCAAATGACTTGACGTCTCTTGGACAAGCACGACAGTTGCCCATCCAGCCAAACCTATCAAATCGCCGATGAGGAGACGTGAGTATGCCCAACAAGCGAGCAGTTTACAAGCCGAGAGCTGTGGTGCTCAGATGAAACTAGTGACTCGGTGCGTCACGCACCCCAAACCTTCCACCCTCTCGTCCGACTTTTAGCCCAGGCCTGGCAGCCAGGGATGCCCCTTTAGCCGGAGGCCCTGGCGCCAGCACTCACAGAAGACTATGTTGAAGAGGCAACACCACGAAATGAGCACCCACAAAAAAAAAAAAAAAACATATGGATATGTAGCCTTTGAGGCGCTGCATCGCTCTAGATAAGCCCACGAACCACTTGGCTCTCGGAACGGTCCGGACCCGAGACAGACTATCATCTGTTGTTCTTCATTCTGTGTGCAATGCTGGTGGTTCGAGACAACCTGGGTTGATTGCTTGTTGCCAAACTAGAACAATGATGGAAGTGCGCGAACATCAGTTGGACAGAATCTGGTCTTGCTGGGCACTCAAAGCGTTGATAAAGATGTTTAGTGCAAAAACAGTGCGCATGGAATAATCATGTCATACATCGGTTGCAAGCACGCAGAAAAATGCAATCTGATGCCCACGGACTCCAACGAGCAAATTCTTAGCTGAGACGCCGCTCGATCTTCAGCCCCTTGCTGGGAAAACAAAAACTTTACTTGGAAGGATCCACGAAGACACACCACGCTTTTCCCCGCGCAAGCGTGCTCTTCGGGCTGTCGCGGCTGTGGCCCGGCTGGGAGCCTCCTGAAGCCCAGCTGGAGCTACTGGGGGAGCCACAGCTCCGTCACAAGCGCCACAGCTATGACAAGCTCTCTGTCGTAATCTGTCACTGTCATATCCTCTCACAGGCTGTCACAAGTCTGTCAGAGGGGCTTGCAAAGTCCAGAGACAAGACATATGACCAATGAACATGGAACGACTTGGTACGAGGTTCGCCTGCGCTTCAGATTCGCGTTGCACTATTGTCATCCTACCGCTCAAGTCCTTCACCGGACCCGCTTCTGAAATTATGTTCAAATGTCCAAGCAAGATCAAACTGGCATTTGACCCGCCTTCAAGTGGCTAGGTTCTGGTTCTGCGCCCCTGCCGGCAAGCCCCACAGTTCAGCTGGACTCGAAGCACGCCTTCAGCAGCGCTGGAAAGCTTGAAGAGGGCCTCAGCCTCAGCGAGGGCAACTGAATTGCTGCGAACGCGGTGTGAGAATGAATCGGTGGGCTTCCCCAGCCTCATCTTTGCTCCTTGAAAGACTGTAAGGCTTCGTGAGGTCTTGATTTGAATCGCCCAATCGGACTCTGTTCTTCCGTGCCGCAATCCTGCATGAGCTCGCTTCGTTCCAATACGACTTCACCCTTCGACATTAGCAAGCTGGCGAGCAAGGCGTGAATTTACATGTCCGCAATGCAAGAATTGCAGAGTGGACTGTTGAGCTTGTGGTCTGCTACAATACAGCATGGTGATCTGTTCAACTCCGCATTGAGTGATTTGCCTGGAACCCCACACTGCAATACACGATGCAACTGGAACAATTCAGGGCGGTGTTCTGATACGGTCACATGTGCACATCTCAGCACTGGCGGGTTCAAAGGAAACAGATCGTAAGCCATGATCGGGCAGCGACGCATGGTCAAAACTCTTCACATTGGCCGTAGTCTTCAAAAACATATTCACAGGAGGCCTTTCAGGGGCTCCCTAAAAGTCCCTGAGCGGTTGACCATTCCTAGTAATCCATTCAAAGAACGTCTTTTGACTGTGGCGCATGTGGATTGAGAAAGCAACCCAACAGCGCACGAGCTGCTGTAGGAGCGTGGGGCAATATCATTAGATTGTACCCTGTGAACCCCTCACTCCCTATTGCCATGTCAAACTGCTACATCAGCAACCAAGTTGTATAAAGACGTCCACATCCTTAACATGGTACAAGTAGCCAATTTGCCTATGCTAAGATGAGAGCCAGCCCGAAACGTTGCCTTCATTTCGCGCGGGATCAGAACATAGGCAAGTGGTGTCCGTCTGTATTACTTTTTATGACGGGAAAGCCCCTCAGAACGGGGCTGTCCTTGATGGAAATGGACCCACGGCAGAATTCCATTCGGCATCGAGGCTTCCGCATCGAGGAATTGGCCGCACGACGTGACCACCTGGAGTCATCAGCCACTCCGTCCAAGTGAGTGACTGTCCCGTCAGTACCAAGTAGAATCCGATCTTAGAGAAACGTTGCATCATGTTGCGACATGTTAGATGCTTGCGTTTTCTGGGCAGAAAGACATGAGCTGCTGCAGCCATGTGCGTGTGGAGAGAGTGCCAGCTTGAGGTTTCAATTCGATCCATGAATGAGTGCTTCCTAAAAACTGGGAACCCCCTGGTGACGATTCAACCACCTAATGGTGTGTCCTTTAGCGGACAAGTGTGCGGGTTTTCCTTTTGGTTTCCCTGTAAAACCATCCAAAAAGGATACTCTCAAAGAAAGACACAGCCATGCGAGGGTGACAACAGGACACTTCCGCAGGACTGAGACCCCGGGCAGTCTGTCGAAACTCGCGGCCCCTGTTCTCGGCGAACTGCGGTCGCAGGCGGGAGATGTCGATGCTGCCCAGGCCTGGGGGAGGTTTGGCGAACATCTGCGGCTGCCTGGCTTGATACTGTGGATGGGCAACATCCTGCAACAGTTGGTAGGTGCATCCCTGCATTCACAGGGCTTCATCCATCGCGGAGCTGCTCTACGCAACACGTTGATTCATACAGAATGGTCAATACCGTGGGGATCATGGCCAGCATGGTCGGTACACGTTTATATACATTGACTAAGCACTTGATAGTACAAGACTCTGCCTGATGTGCATGCTTGGTGTGGAAATGGTCTTGGCCAATTCCGCACAAAGCTCCAAAATCGAACACGGCACATCCGCGCCATCCTACCACAGCCCGCGAGCAAGCCCTCCATGCGCATCGACACGTCCCTCGACACGTCCTGAGATCCGCACCCTGAGGCTTGCAGTTCACAACTTGCATCACCTGCGAGAGCGCGCGGTCGACGGACCGCGCAAAAGTTTGCAAACTCTGGGGGCAAGGGGTTGTCAATTCTCTCGTTTCAACCTATCGGCACCAGATGGTGAACAATTGTCGGATTCCCTGCGAATGTTCGACTCCATGTGCCTGCGTAAATGTTTGAGAGATCGAGCCAAACGGGTTGACGAAAAGTAGCTTGCATCACGGAACAGCTTCCATAACTTTGCAAACAAACATCAAAATACAGCAGTCAAGCAGGCTGTCATCCACCATGGCTCCCTGCTATTTGCCCAGCCTCCTGCAAATGCTCCCAGTTCTGCATGTGCAGCACATCCGCCCTGTCAACAATGCAGACCTCGATGGAGGAGAGGAAGTCAAACTCTCTCCTCCTGGCAGCTCTCACGTGAAAGGATTCGCGGCTTATGACGGTTATGACCTTGTCGGGTGGCAAAACTGAAGCAAGGCAACCCGCCGAAAACTCTCCTGACTGGAGGCTAACCATGAGGAACTGCTACGACAAGCACATACCTGACTCTGGGGGGCGATGTGCTACTTTCTCACTATGTGCTGTAGATGTACGTACCAAAACGAGACAAATGGCTCTTGCAAAGACTACGCCAGCGCGGACCTTCCAAAACCCTCCAGAGGGTGTTGACGTCCAGCCAGGAGCTTGTTATCCTTTAGTCTGCATGCTGGCACCGCCCTGGTCCCGTCATCAAACATTTCCCTCAAGGCACGCTTTTGGCGCAAAAGCTGGGATCAACCTCGTCTCACCCGAGCGCCCCCCATCTTAAGGCGATGTGTCGGATGTGTCAAAGAGTCCTTGGATGCTTTTCACAAGGAAGCCCCAAAACGAGAATCGTTCTGCGTTGCTCTTGCTTGGCTTAGAGGGAAGCGCAAAGGAAGCCCCACCCTGCTCTTCCCCCGCCTTTCCCCCTCTGCCCCAGTGATCTGCCGGAGGCCCAGCGGCGAGCCTTGCCGCGGGCGACCCAAAAGGGGCGGTCAGTTTCGGGCCGATTTCGGGCTGAAATTTGTGAGAACTACTGGTCTAGTGCAATCCAGGATCATTTTCGCAATAGCCTGAGATCAAACGGACACCAAACCCGTCCAAGTGTGGATGCCAACAGACCAACCAGCTCTGGCCCCACAGCTTGGCGAATGCACGGGCTGAGGCATTTGCAGATCAGGATTTCGGCATTGTGGAAGGGAGCGTAGAGTTTCACCCCCTGGCAAACGGAAGAAAACAGGCGAGGCTGATAGGTGGCGATTGCGTTGGCTGATCTCCGGACTCCTAAGTTGTCATAGCAACCGCATCTAAAGCGAGGTCGGTCAACGCAAAGCACTGCAGTGTATCAAGCAAATGCCATCACGTATCTGAAGGGCGCTCAGAAGCAGCTGGGCCGTATGTGGCCTTGTGTGGCCTTGCCATCTCAACAGAAAGTCGCTCAACAACTGGAGACATGGCGTAGAAAGGATTTAGCAAAGGCACAAAGCCCGCAGGCTGCCATCTTGACTGCACATGTATCATATTGCCATATCCTCCCGGTTGTCAAAGCCCAATTAGACCTGGGAACGAACAATCAGCAATGCTGCTTGGCGGGCCATTGTCAAAACAGTTCACCTGGGAAATGGATGGAAAGAATTCCAGGTTGGCGGCATAATCCGTGGACCGCAAGGCGAAACCTCACATGGCGCAAGCACCACCCTCGCTGTCAAATACATGTTTGGCAGGAAAACCCATGACAACCAGGAGCCTCCAAGTTGGCCTCTGGAGAATGCACCCCACAATATTGGAAATTCGGTGAGTCTCTGGTTTTTGTTGATTGAATCCCCATTGTCTTTGCGAAATGAGCCACAGACTGGCAATTTTGACCAAACGGTAACCTCGACCGGCTTTCCTCCGACCGGCCCATGTCGAATGTGCCTTCTTCAACAGGGTCAGGCCAATGCGGAAGCGGTCATCGCTGTTCCCTGGCCAAGCTTTGAGGAGGCGCAGCTGGCGTTTTCCCCTCGCATGAGTCCAGGTGGCTTGGCCAGAAGTTCCACCAAAATGGTCCCAAAGAGGAAGTCCAACTTGGGGAGTGCGATTGTGAGATTGCCCATGCAGCTCGGACAGAGCCCTCATGGATGTTCTTTGAGTCTCCAAAACTTGCACGTTGTAGTTGCAATATTCCCCGGCCCCAAGCGAATACGGATATGTCAATGCTGCATTCTTCAATTTGGACTTACTCTTCTTGATATCGTACAGCTAATCAGGCATTCGTGGAACACCGCTCGTCGCTCTAAGGAGTTTTGGAAGCTTCCAGGTTACAACCCAGTCAAATCGCATCAGGGCAAAAATGAGAAACAGGCACGAACTCCAACCGTTCAAATTCTGGCAGCGCGGGCAGTGGCTTCGTTGGCCAGTCCATGTGCACTAGCTAGGCGTCAACATCCACGGCCACATGATTTGCAACCCACGCTTCTACCAAAGTGGCAGCGGTTACTGATGTGGCTCTGCAACGCTGTGTCAGAGAAATCAGCAGAACCCAGTCGAAAGGCTTCTCGGCCTTATGCCCACTGAAGTGGGGCACTACTTGCTTTCTGCGCCATTCCACTAAGACAATGGGAACTCTCCAGCCCCTGAACTATCCAAAGGACCAATTACCTGATTGGCCGTGCATCGGCAGTTTGACAAAGGCCAAGTCCTAGAGGTTGCCCTCATTCAACACTCCCAAGAAGCATACCCCATCTGGAGGCTTGCCCGACATGCCCAACATCTCACTCCCAAGCCGACCTCCAAACAGATGCTGGTAGTCCGGCGGCTTGTCCGCCTGGCTCTATGGGCCATGGGCAGAGTCTAGGAATTGAAACTGTGGAGTATGTGATACTCTAAGAAACAGCTTGAGTCTCTGTGGGCACAACATGCCGAGCCCAGCTGTCAAGTTTGAAGCCGCTTTTGGAAACAAGTTCACAAAAAACAAAACATGAAAGTCCCACCTTGCAATCAACTCAGGCTAGTGAACAATCAGGAGGCAGCGCAAGTACGAGCCAGTTTGTGGGTAGTTCGACTCCAATATATGGGCAACCGGGAATAAGTGTGCTCAGGGCCAGGCCAGGATCTCCCCGTCCGGACCAAACTCCTCTTCGAAGCGCTGCAGGTTGGCGACCTCCCGGCGCTCAACTCGGTGCTTTCGGCGGGCTCGAGTCATTGGGGGAGCAGCGGGAAGGAGCGTTGGGCTGGCAAGCTGGGTGCATTAAGGTACATGACTCGCATGACCCAAACTTCCCCTGGCTCAAACCTTACTGCAAACTCGCCTTGCCGAGGTTTCGGGCCCTTTGTGTTGCATCGCCAACGGAGGAAACTCCTGCAACAGGTCTTACACCTCTTTGCAACACCAAAGTTCTCAGTCTCACGGCCCGCGTGGCGCCGACCCGTTGCTGTCCTGCTTCTTTGGCGGCATCAAGGCCAGCAGCAGCTTCACCTCGAAGCGCGAAACGAGAAACTGGACTCCTCGCATCCGTTCTTGCGCAGACGCCACGTAGCCGCAATGGAAGCAATGATCCGCCGAAGCTCGAGCAAGACACACCAAAACATACAAATCGATCAGAGACAAAATTCGGCTCAATGGACCTGCACAAGCTTGAAACTTCATAGTGTACACAAACAGAACAAGCCGCGCATGGAACAAGCTGGTGCCAAACCATGCTTGTTGAAGAGAAAGTGGGATTTGGAAAAGGGGGCAAGGCTGGGTCTTCCCCCCCAAAGCCGCCCGCGCTCGTTGCGACCAAGGAGCAAAGTCATAGCACGCAGAGCGAAATGGGCAAAGGATCAGGACCTCGGACTGCGCAAGGCATTGGGATGGGGACCAGGGACTCAATACCATTTCAACCCGGGAAGCTGAGAAGGTTTGTGCCCCGTTCGCGGCTTGTCCACCTCATTGGTAGGACAAAATGACATCTGCTCATGGATTGGCGAATTGGCGGAGGTGATGCTCTTCGTAAGGAGTGACGCGCGACGCATTGTGCTGAAAGAGAGTGCTTCGGGGAACGATCCGGGTTGCTCGAGCCCTGCTCAGCTTCGTCTGAAAGGACCGTAAGCAGCGTCAACAACCGGTTCCCCGTTTCCCCGTCACTTTCAAGCTTTGTTAGGTGCCGCAGTGTGTTGCTACCTAGGTCAGGAAATCTCTAGCTGTCACAAAAGCTTGTTGGCACGCCTCTGGGCCGGCCAGCTGGAAAAAGTCTTCGCGAATCGAGTCACATCCTTCGAACAGCTGGCGGCCGAACTCCGAGCCATGGCCATGGCATTTGGGATCCCCAAAAACTTGCTGTCTTGGATCCCCTTCAAACCTACACTTGGTGTGCCCTCCCCTAAAAAAAACTTTAGCTTCCAATTCCAGCTTGACCTCTAAGATGCTCAAACCTACCAAGCGTACCCTCCCCAAACACTACCTTACCTTCCAAGTGCAGCTTGACCTCTAAGATGCTCCTGCATTGAAATCCAACCTGTCCCCGGCCGCACAGGAAGAAGCAACATTAGCCACAATTCAGAAGCGCGTGCAAGACAAGCAATGCTCAATTCGCAACAAAACACACGCAATCGTTGAAATTCAGTATGCTTAAATCGTCCGTCATGTTTCATCCCTTGTCTCCGTAAGGAAGTGCAATAGGCCTTTGATTGCCGAATGCTTAGTCAAATTGTCTTCCTCAATGAAGCAAATCGTATACCATGGTTCCATGGAAAAAGAAAAGTCGATCGACAAATCAACAGTAGACCGTGATAGGTCCATACCGGAACAAGGTCCCTTCTATGTCACGCTGACCAGATGCTCCCATGCCCATGGACAAGACACTCGCGCCCGAGTGAAGCCTTGATCCATCTGCACCTCGCCTGGCATGAACCATCGAATCGTCAAAACAAGCAGGATTATGAAACGTAGACGGCAACTGCGGTTGAAGCAAACAGGCACCGCCAAATCGCCTGACTTTAGCTACAGCTTTTTGTTGCCTTCCTTCGCAGCAATGTATTTGACGAGCCTCTCGCGCAACTGTCCTTGGAAGCAACTTTCCGCTGGGCGAAGCGATTTCGTTGGCGGCTCTCAAAACCTGCTGAGGCACAACATGTTCCAGAAGACTGAAGGGCGACCAACAAGAAGAGATGGCGCGTTGCCTGTCCCAATTCAGATGGGAACAGCGTGGGGAACAGCGCGGAACCGAAGCGGACTCGGAAAATGGCCAATACGTTGAGCATCACGGGTCGACCACAGGCCGCTCGAGGAGCTTCAAGCAAGGGCACACTGAAAAGACATGTTTTACTTTCGACAGCACACCCACATTAGATGAAACAGACATATACTTGCTGGCTCGCCTAAAGTTTCCCAGGCATTGTTGAAGGTCCTCCGCTTCTCACAGAAAGCTCTCTTTCGGATTTTGGCGGGTCGTAGTCAAACGCTCTTCACTCTTGTCTCGGTTTGCTCGCGAGACCTCGCGAAACTTTAGATCCATCCTCTATGCGGACTGCATGGATTTCTCCGTGCCGAGAAGTCAGCTCCTGTGGCTTCTCTCGCTCTCCTCATTCACACTTGTGCCACACGGGCCGAAGCATCTCTCGGCTTCTGGAAGTGCGCTCCGGCATCTGAGACCACTCTTGTCAGCCCAGTCAGGCTTTTCCAAGAAGCCGCAGGCATCGTAGGCATTCCCTTTGTTCAACCCTTTGATACGTAGTGCCGGGCAAGAAACTTAAACTTCAACACCCCACTTATTGTCAAAGATGGTGCAACTCCAAACGCTGTTGCAAGCTGCTCGGGAAATGAGATTGATCAATTCAATGCAGTGGATTGCAAAATGGCCAGACTTGCTCATTGGCTCCAACCTGGTGCACGTTCGAAGGGTTCTCACATCATTCCCCCCACAAGGCAAGTGGACCTGCAAAGCAACCCTCGGCTATCGCCGGCCTTCTGGCTTCTGATCTTTTGCTTGATCTTCTCCCCGCACCTGGCTCTGCGAGACTCACTTGGAACCATTGAACTTATTCTGCGACTGGCCCACAAGCAAGATACGTATTCACCCACAATTCTGGCTGGTATGCCTCTCTGGCTGCGCGCACCCGACTCACTTGCGACAATGAAGAAAACAACCCCTTGCCTGAGTGGAGAGTGGTGCATTTACACCCCCTACCTCTGAGGTTTGACAGCACCCTTGGGAAACACCAAGCTTTGGATTTGCTTCTTTGCTAGCTCCGGGAGCCTTTAAGACACAAAAAACCTGCCTTGTCGCACTTGATTATCCAAGATGTGAGTTTCCAAACATACTTCAGCGGAAGGACATTGATCCCTCTATGTTCCACTCCTGACTTGGGCAAAATAGAAGCGCACAGGGATCTGGCTCGCCAACCTTCAGGCAAAGGTTAGATATGTGAAATGAGCCATCCGAAAGACAACTCGCTTTGAGGGCCCAGTAGTCACAGCTCCCGTCTGACGCCTGGATTTGTTTTCTCTTCCACCAGCATGGAAACCATCAGGTCTCTGAGGAAAGCGGTCTTCCAAATACGCGAACAAGCTGGAGAAAACAGCGGCAGAGCGGTGGAGGTCTGGGAATTTGCCGCCCCTCCCGCGCGGCCTTCAGCAGGTGATCCACAATGTGCAGGGCAGAGAGTACCCGCAGCGCCTGAGGGTGCGAGGGGGCGTCCCCGAAAGGACGTGGGCTGTTGGCAACCGGTTGACAAGCTCGTCAATTCCACGGCGGGATACTGAAGGGAACGGCAGCATTGAGCGCTGGCGACACCCTCGAGGTGGAATACAGGAAACATGTGCTGATCAGACTTCGCTTCCGTGAAGGAAGAGGGGTTTGTGTGTGTGTGTGTGTGGACCGCCTTTTTTGGATGATAGTTGTTGGTGATAACGAATGATCCGCACCGCATCATTCCCACCCAGACACCTCAAAAACCACCCTGGGCAGTTTCTCTGCATCAAGTGACCAGCAGCTTTCTCCCATGTCACCGCAACTCTAATGATAATGGTAATAATACCCACAGCCCCCGTGGTTTGCCGGCACCCCCTAATCCACCCTTGTCCAGCACGTGGTTCAAGTATGGCACCCTTTACTACTCAAGTAGCAGAACTCGTGCAGCCATACCTGACAAGTGGTGACCTGCGTTCTCTTCAGAACGTGGGCCCGTGGTACCACGAGCGCATGGGTAGCAGGCAGGTCTGAGTTTTTTTGGGTTTAGGTTTAGGGTTTTTAGGGTGAAGGTTTCTGCAAGCAGGTTTGGGTTTTTTAGGGTTTAGGCTTAGGGTTTTAGGGTTTAGGTTTAGGGTTTCAGGGTTTAGGTTTAGGGTTTTTAGGGTTTGGGTTTAGGGTTAGGTTTAGGGTTTAAGGTTTAGGTTAGGGTTTTTAGGGTTTAGGTTTCTGGATTTTAGGGTTGAGGTTTAGGGTTTTTAGGGTTTAGATTTATGGGTTTTAGGGTTTAGGTTTAGGGTTTTTGTGTCGGTTCGTGGCGCAGGCAAACCTCAGGGGCTGGCCGTAATAATAGTAATGGTAGCAAAAAAAACACCAATAACCACAATAGTAATAATTATTATGAAAATCATAAAGACAAGACGCCCTGAGGACCCCAAATTGTTGTGAGAGTGCCGGCCAAGCACGCCGAACCCCTTCAATCCAGCGCCCCGCAGGGGCCACTGCCTTGGCGTCCCGGCGCGGGCGTTCAGATGGGAATGCTGGGGGAAGGACACATCCAGGTAGGCGTGCAAGCACGCGAAGAAGGCGCCCTCTGCGGGCCTCAACAAAAACCCATCGAACTGAACATGAAAATGCCAAACAACTCCCCGGAAAGGTATGGGGGGAGATACATAATAAAGAATGCCCCTCTTACACTAAGACCGACGCATCAAACGCAAAGGGGCAGCCATCAACCTCCGGAGCACTCCAGTGGATGGAAAGCTTTTAGGCTCGCTTTTGGCCATACCAAAAAGTCACGAGACATTCACCGATCAGAAAAAGGAAGGTGGCATGGTCCTCCATCAAAGAAGAGCCTCTGTGGCAAAGTCAGCCCTCTGCTATTTCAATCTTGGTAGTTTCATGGGCCAGATTCTGCATCTACTAAGGTGTCCTTAGTTATCCTTTCCAGTGAATGTACCACTCAACTGAGGCGTGTCAGACTTTTAAGCGGAACAGGAGTTGAATCATCGACGCAAAGAAGGTAATCTCGTATTGTACATGCTCCATCTAATCTAAGCAAACAATTCGGACTGCTATACGCATGCCCCAAAGTGGAAAGGCTCGTGTGAGAAGCTGATCAATTTCTGTCCAGTATGGGGAACGGCCATTGCCTCAAACAGCACCAACTGAAGGCCACTGCTCCGCGGCGTGTCTAAATTGCCGTGCCTGTCAACTGCTTGCCTTTCGAAAATACACGGTTGACAAACTCTGCAATGTTGGTCTGGCTCATCTCTTCTTCTCAAATGTTCTTCAACAAAAGAACTCCATCAAAACATGCGCGCCATCAACAAATGCACTGTTTCAAGTCGACTCTCTGCGACGACAAATCAACAGTTGAAGCTGCACGCCTTTTGCTCCTCGAGAGACGCGATGTTCACTGAACCGACATTAATCATTCTGTTCTGCCTTTCGCTAGGGTCTTACGGCCCAGGTCTAGGCAAAGGCAGGTGACACGAAGCAGGCCCATTGGCTTGCTTTGTGGCCGCCAAGCCACAGACGCCGGCAAAAGGAAGTCAATACATCACACAGGTGGTACCCTTTTTGCCGGTGGTTTTAGAGGGAAACCAATGAGAAAACCACTCATTCTGGGATCCAACCTGCTGCTGGCTAAAGAGTGGTGCGTCAGCCAGCATGCTCTGTTCACACAACATGTTCAGGATGATCAGAAAAGCAAGCATCTCAACTCGAAACCTCCCAAACGAGGAAGAACACGTTGCATCAACTCCTGGCAAACATGTGAAACAACCATCTTCCGTTCGGCCAGCTTTGTTTTGTTGGTAGAGGTCCAACAATGGAGACGTGGCGTACTTTCCGCTTTGAACCGCAACAACAGCAGCCAGCAGCAGTTGAGAAGCCCTACGTCTCAGAATCTCAAGGTGCCGGTCATCTGTCGCATGTATCACTTCCCAGTTCTTGTCGCGTCGACGCTCCCGAAGGCGAGTTTACAGGAGGCATGGGATGTGGCACGGGCAAAGATAAAGAGTGCCATCTCCCAGTCAGCGACAGGTCCACGGGCAATCTCCGGCAATCTTTGCCGCGGATCCAAGGCTTGGGGTATTGTGAACGTGCTGCCTGCTCACAAACAACCAAAAACTCGTCTCCGGGCTCCGTGAAACTTGCAACCACCGCATCCCCTTTTCCTGGAAATCTTAATTATGTGGCGACATGCGAAGGCATTCCCACCTGCCAGTCATTGATACCATGAGCCAAGTAGAGTGTCAAGAGAATGAGCCCTGCTGGTTTGGATAAATGATCAAAACATGAGCCACGTTCAAAAATACGGTTTGCATAAAAGACAGGGGTAAAAGTAGCGAGTGCTCTTATTTTTTTGCGTGAGCCCCCCATATTCCTCTCAAATGGAAAATACACTACTGGACACTTTGCCCGAACAACACACACGGCTTCTTAGAGAAAGACTAGCAATGTCTTGCTGGCTTGGCAATGGACCAAACCGTTGGACAGCATCAGGAATACAAGCCAGCAAACAACTGGCGCCAGCGTATTGCTTGCTCCGTCCAGGAGTCTCAAATCATCTGCACGCTGCTGCCGTGCCGCAACTTGCAGAGAGGTCCGATGAAGTTCAGACGCAAATGAACAACTCGTCCAGATCCTTTGGGTCGGCCATTAGGAATAACCAGTTGCCAGAAAGCCAGCTGTGTGACACCAACCTCCACGGCAATTGATCAAAGCATATCACGCTGTCAACTCCCGGAACTCGCATGTAAAACTCTCCCTCAGTTGGCTCTGAAGCCTGGCTCCGGATGCACCCAGGAAAAAAACTCCGCGTGACCAGTCCGGTGGCATACGGAGAAAGCAGGGCCGTTGGGTGGTTGGGTGGTTGTTCAGCTCACAGGCAAGCCACTCACTGGGAAACTGGAAGGGAGCCTCCACACAGCTTGACTCTTTTCCCCGGCCGAGTTTATTCTATTGGGGAGGGAGCCTTGCTTATTTGCGGGGGTACACTTTTTCGAACGCTCACCATGCGTTATGTTGCAGGTGTCATGACCCTCTATCTACAGCGGTGGCCTTGGGTGTTGAAGTGGATGCATGTGATGCTCGGAGCAGCTTTGCTTTGGGTGTCTCTAAACGAACTTTTTTGGAGGGGAACACTTTTTTCTGGTGGGTTTGAGGGCAAAGCAAAAGGAGCAGTCCTCTACTTGGGTAAGCAGTGTTTGAAGAATCCAGGCTGCTTCATTTGTTTCTATTTTTGGATGGGGGTGAAACCCTTGAAAATCGGCTAGCCCAAAAAATGGTGCCCTTTCTTCCCGCGAGCTTCTGGGACAACCAGGGCCCAGAATCCAAAAGGAAGGTGGTTGCAGCAATGGTGGCTTTAACTATGTTTGAGCCCAGAGATGTACACAGTATTCATGGCAAAGTGATGCATGGCAAGTGAAAGTGTAGCTCTTAGGACACCCTGAGGTGAACATCTGAATCCGGCACAGAGACACCCATTTGAGAGAATAGCGCCACCTGGTGCGCGCAAACGGCAGTTTTGGGCTTGTCGCTCGTTTTTTGACGTTGGTTTTGCGAGCAACCGCTCGCAAGAGTCTCCCTGAAGATGGCCTGAAGGCTCTAATTGGGGCAACCTTTGGCGAACTTCCCTCGTAAAATGAGTGCCAAAACTGAAAAACCTCTTCCAATGCTTGAGAAACCGCTTCGTTTGCCCTGTAAGACCGTCCCGAAAAACGTCTCTGGCTTGGACCCATTCATATTAAGACCATGTTTTGGAACAACACCAAGCCCTCAAACTGCAATGTGTCACGATGAGGGGCACTTTCGAGTGGCACGTGCTCCACTTTGTTGCAGCATGTAAGTCCGCCCACCCCACCCCCATTTGCAGGCAATGTCAACATGTCGGGGTGGCTCTCTTGTCCAATGCCCACGAATGGTCTGAAATAGCCTGGAGGCTGCGGCAAGCCTGGAGGCTGCCAAGCACGAGTGGTCGTTTTTCTCAACTAGCTGAGGCACAGAAAAAGAGGAGACGGGAAAAGAGAAACGAAAAAGAAGCAGGGAAGGAATGAAAGAATGGAACATTGAAAGGAAGCGCCGCAATCAGCCATCCACAAGCATGCCAAACAAAAAACAGTTTGGATGATTCGGCGCATGGATTCCTCCCAAGCTGCAGCAAGCTGGAAGGCTGGAAGCGCAGCAAACAAATGACAATGACCTGCGCCTCCAGAAAGTGACCTTTGATAGATAACCACACGATTCGAGATCAGTAGAGATTGCTCTATGTTCGGTGCCCTTTCAAAGAAAGCATTTCATGACCGGTGCCATATACTTGGAGACCACCAAAACGCCACCAGGCGCTTCAACTGCTCCAAATGAAGCGGAGAAAGCTTGCAGTCAGGTACGACCACCCAAATTGGGGGAGTGCCGTTCCAATACTGAGCTTACATGTTGTGACCAGCAAGCATATTCTGCGGATAAATGACTTTAACGGGACAGCTCAGCCAACAGGTTGAGTCTGCAACTATGTTCCAACATATTCCGACTCCTTCTGATTCTGCATCGATCGTATCTGCAAGCAACAACCCATTGGCTGTTGGCCCCACCAAGATGGTCGTACAGGTTTAGATAGAACCATGCCCCATATGAAACCAGGCAGTACCATCCTGTGCCTCCAGGAGTCTGGCAGGCGGCCGGCGAGTTGCGGGAAGCGATGCGCGAGGCCTCGAGACGGCCAGCTTCTGCAGCGGAAAAACACAACGTGGTGTATAGTCCGGGCTATAGTTCACATGGCCGTGGGTCAAAACCAATGATACCATTTTGGGATAGGTGCACCACCCATATTAATCTATTTTGGTGGGGATTGGGATGTTCACTGGGGGTACAGGGTTTTGACCCACAGCCACATGTTGCTTTCGGGGACATCCCAACGATGTTCACCTTTTTCTGCAGGTCCAGTCCCTTGACTTCGGTTGGTCGCAGCCACGTCTAAATGGAATGCTTGCCGGCAAATTGTGGCTTTTCGGGCATGTTACGCGGCCAGAAATTCTGCCAGCAATCTTTGGGAACGCCCAACGGGCGAAACCAGAGGCGAGGGAGGCGAGGGAGGCCCACAGCCGCCGGGCGCCGGGCCTGCTTACTGCTGTTCTTCGACGCCAGCGCAGCATTCATGCGCTCCAGCTCGAGGTTCTCCTGGCCATGGGATCGGTTGCCATGCTCTTGCGGGTAACACGAAAACGGGACCATCTGAAAGATAGAGAAAGGGAGAGAGGAAGAGAGAGAGAGAGAGAGAGAAAGAAATAAAGAAATAAATTAGTCAAAAAATACATGAAAGAAAGAAAGAAAGAAAGAAAGAAAGAAAGACAGAAAGACAGAAAGACAGAAAGACAGAAAGACAGAAAGACAGAAAGACAGAAAGAAAGAAAGAAAGAAAGAAAGAAAGAAGGAAAGAAGGAAAGAAAGAAATAAGAAATAAGAAAAATAGAGACAGATAGAGACAGACACAGACAGACACAGACAAACAGAAAGAAGGAAATAACGATGGAAATAAAGAAGAAAAAGACATGGAAAAAAATGAAATGAATAAACAAGAAAGGAAATAAAGAACGAAT